TAAGATGGAACCTCAATTTTTAACATGGTATCAGAACCCATTATGCTCCAACGAGCGATGCTATCCCGTTAAGACTCTAAAATGAGCATGTGAATTTTAAGATTGATTTGCTCAAATAAGCCACCATCTTGCGGGGCGTGTTAAGGGATATATATCCCACATCGATAAATGATGTTGACACAGACCAATTAATAAAGATTTTGGACTACTCCTCTTAACAAGGTTGATTTTTTAAGATAGAACCCCAATACTTAAAAAACGTATCATCAGATGTTATTTATTATGTAAAGCTAGCAATTTTTTTGTTAAAAATTCAAATGTGGGTTTATCATATGATATAAGTCCGAAAATTTGATTAAAATTAAAGTTGCATATCGGTTTTTCATCCGAACATGTTTAATTCTCAATTTCAAAATTTTCAATTTGTTGACTTGACATAATAATAATATTATTTGATGACACGATGTCACTTAATTGCGCCACGTAGAATTTAATGTTAATTTTTTTAAATGAGCGGTCATTAATATAAAGTTTATAAATTTGAGTGATTATTATCGGAAAAAAAAAAAACAACAATTCAATAATCATGATGTGATTACTAAAAACTTTGGTCACCATTAAAGTAACTAATTTAATTAAGTTTTAAAATGAGACAATTGTGATAATATATTTGTGTATATATTTAGGCGTGTGTGTGTGCGCGCGCGTGTTGCAGCCTCATAAACGCATGCGTAGGGATTAATTTTTGGAATGAAGAATTCAGGCGGGCATGCTGCTTTAATTAGGCCAACAAAGCGTTAATTTTTGTGCCATTCATATGGTTCAAATGATGGGGTTTGAAGCAATTAAATTAAGAGTAATGCTATTCATCCCAATTGGGGATGAAAACACAGTTTACGTGGCGTTAATGTGACATTAAATGATAGATGAAATTAAATAAATCATTTAATTTCACTTTTTATTTAACCTACAATTTAAAGCCGATTTATTTAATTTCACCTTTCATTTAACCTATCATTTAAAATCACCTAAACTGTGTTTTCATCCCCACTGAGGATGAATAACATTACTATTAAATTAAGCATGGTACTCTATTTTTATTTTTCAACATTCTAGTTTCCTTTTAGGATTCTTATTTAAATTTTGTTTAATTTGTTAATATAATGAATACTTTATTTTAAAGAAAATTCTTGAGACGAATTTTCTTAAGCAAACACTTTATATATAAAAAATAAAAAACCCGTGTGTATAACAAACCAAACACACACTTTATTCTTAAGCAAATTCTTGACATGATCAATTTCCCCTCTATGCAGATTAGTGGACAAATAACTAGCATGTGTTAAATCCATATAATTGACTTACTCGAAAAGTAAAAATTAGAAACATTTTGCAATTATCATTTAATCTATTGAATTCATCTCCTCAAACTCTCTGATATTTTGTACATATACATTTTTTTCTTTTTGACTAAAGGCATCTTTACGTGTCAATCGATATTTTCTTTTTCTCTTTCTTAACTCTTAACCCATTCAAACTTATAGTCGACTCCTCAAGTTTGACATCTAAACTCTCATTTTCTAATTCAAGTTTATGCAATTTCTTAAATGCAGAACTATTCACATTTTTCAACTTAAAGCACTCCTCAAACAATTCGTCAAACGTCTCAAGGATATCCCTACAATTCTCAAATCTACATCAGAATGTGATTGGCTCATCTAGACAAAAAGGGTCAAGGGAGACAATTACGGCTCTGATACTACTTGAAAGTTTTAAATTAATCGATTTATTTAGACCCAACGTGCTGAATTACACAATTAAAAGTAACAAGCCACTTTTTAATTGTTTGTAGATAGTTAATCAATCACGTCAATTTATTCTATGCTCAATCACAATTTATAATATGAAAGCAATAAAGAACACCAAATTGATCACGGATAAACCCCAATTGGGTAAAACATCTGGGTACTTTGCCGTCAATATTCCATTATAAATCAAAACAAACTTACAGTACAGTCCAGATCCGTCTATTCCATAGAACTTCTCACCTCATTTCTTGCAGTCTCCCTTGATCTTACTAGCTCAGTCAAAATAAATTTCGACTCCCGGTTTATACTTTATCCCTCCTGAATTGCGTGCTAACGTAATCTTGACTCCCGGTACCTCACCTTAGTCTTCCTGAATTTGTGCGTCTGCAATAACTCCCGATCTCTGATATCGATTTATCTCATGTGGATTAAATGAAGAACTCCTCTTTCTTCGGATTGGTATTTGATCAAAAGATCTTTGTCTATTTTGATTTGTGATTTAATATGAAACAATATGACTTAATCAACAAATCAAATTGGATGAATTTATGGCACAAATAATGTGGTGGTTGAATCTTGAAATCAATGAATATATTATATTTTAGATCTTCAAAGGAATGATCTTATGAAAAAAATGATTTAACACTTTTTTTTTTTGGCATTTCATAGAATGTATATTTATAATGGGTATTGTTTGGGATAAAAATGAACTTAAAACAAGCTTAAAAAGCGAATATTATTGTTTCTCGGATAACCTGTCGGTCGAGCGCTAGTCCAACGACAGGTGAGAGACAGTTGAGAAGTCGTCAATATGTTTATTATAAATTTCTGTCCAGATATCTGATTGAGGTGATTCAAAATTCATTGAAAAGTTAACTCCGAGGGCTACAATTCTTCTAGGATAGACTTGTCCAAATTCAAATTATTTCTATGTGAAAAATGCATTGAATTTTTCGACTTAGAATTTGGAGCATAATTTGTGCAACTCTTTGACACTTTTTAGACTTATAAATGCATTTTCTTGCTCATATGTAACCTTCTTAATTATCTTAGACACCTTCAAGACTTAAACTATCAGTCTAAACTCTTTTGCTATAATTAGGACTCAATAACTCATATTTTGAAGTTGATTACAACTTGATAGACTCCTAATATAATTCAATGAGGACATAGTTTTGACTAAGAAAATTGTTCATTACAAATCTATAAATTGACAATTATGATTTGGACTTAACAGAAATCTTGTTACTCTTTCATCCAACAAATTCCTCCTCTTTTATTTAAATTCTTGTGGGTTGATTGTTTGTTGTTTGATTATTTTAATATCCTACTATTTGGACAATTCTTTTAGGAATTTGTGATTATATTGAGAAATAAATCATATTTCTAGCTCAAATAACCAAAAAAAAAATAAAAAAATCTTTTATTTAAATTCTTGTGGGTTGATTGTTTGTTGTTTGATTATTTTAATATCCTACTATTTGGACAATTCTTTTAGGAATTTGTGATTATATTGAGAAATAAATCATATTTCTAGCTCAAATAGCCAAAAAAAAAAAAAAAATACCGTCCTAAACGAGATAGAGATACTTCTATGCTTAGGTAATTGTATGGCATTTTTATCTATCCACATCCGTCATAGAGCTATAGTTTTATCATAGATAAAAGTTGAATTAATTTATCTTGAAAGAAAATTAACACAAAAAGTATTGATTGTTAATCTAAAAATTAATAACAAGTAATTGAGGATTAAAGCAGGTTAACAATAGTGAATCAGGATTAAAGCAGGATCTTATTTCCTTTTGTGATTTGATTAATTTCAAGATGTTATTGCTTAGTTTTAATTGCTTATTTTCATAGAGAATTAGCTAGATATAGTTAAAAACCAAACAGAACAATTATGTGTTCCAAAATTAAAGCTAATAGTTAATTAAAGTACAATATGTAGATAATAAGTTTTTTTGGATTCAACACTCTATTCATCATTATATTACTTATATACGATGCGTTCATTTACAAGCTAAAATCGACAACAATAACCATTCCAAATTTAAGTGGATTTTTTTGGCCTAGAAGTATAAAACATTAATGTTGGCCTAATGTCATTCTAATATGTGGTAATTACTTAAAATAGTACTTTAAGTTTTTAAACTTCCATAATCAGATTGGAAGTTTAATATTTCAAAAATCAGATATTTTATAATAGATACAATTTTTTTATATTTAATTAAATATTAATAATAATATTATAAAAATTA